CCTAATGCCCCTGCCCCCCTAATTAGAGTACACAATTTCATTGTTCTTCACATCACCAATAGCGTCAACTAATAGCCTCAGATGTAAACTTTTATAAATTTTCTAAGCTCTTTTGCCCCCGATCTTCAGGGTACTTTTGCTCCCTTTCAATATAGGTCTTTAGGAACTTTGTTTTACTTTTGACCTAGGAAACCTCCTCCCAAAATTTTTCAACTTTTTCAGTCTCTATTGTAGTGTAGTTTGTTTTAAATTATGTTTAATTATTTTATTTTATTTTTCTTGTATCTTTTATTGTTTGAGTAATTTTCTTTTATTTTTATGAATTTTTTTTTTCTGGCCCTCCCTGACTTTGGCCTCAAACAAAATTTGTCGAACAAATCAAAAAGAGTACAATTTCATACTTTTAAAAATTAAGATCGTTTGTGAAAAATCCACCTAATCAAAATTTTCATAAATTACACACAACGTGAAATATTTTAATAATAGATAATATTAAAAAGTAAAATGAACATCTTTGTATAAAAAAAATGATTCATCCTTCAAAATTCTTTTCTATTCTGATAATAATATTAAAGTAACATTATGTGGAGTTACCTGGTTTTTATCATCGTGTGCAGTAACTCCAAAACTCCAAAAGTAGAGTGACGATATGTTACTGTTACTTTTTAGATTCCCAAATTTGTAATTACCGATTTTTTCTTCAAAAAAAAAAAAAAAAAAAATCAGGTCAGCGAAGTTATTGTTGCAGATGATGACTTTCACCCTTTCTGCAAAAAGTCGTCGATAAATCAGGTTGGGTTTTGGCCACCGCCGACACCTAATTGACAAGCATCATTTCCTGGTGGAAGTAGGTAGACGGTCGCCCTCAATTTCCGGTCAGCCCTTCCCCAATTATAGCCGTAATCACAGGAAATTATCAAATGTGCACCAGCAGAACACATCCTCCTTATCTACCTGATTCATGGGACGATGCGGTCGCCATTATCATGTAAACGTGGATAAGCCGCGCATTGCGTAATTCTGATGCTATACCGGATGACATCAATAAAATTGCCTCAACGGAAATCAACCATTGGGACGTCCAAGATTAGTCCCATCATCCTCCACCTCCAGTCACGTGATGGCGTGTAAAATAATCCGGGGACACACATGTTATGTAGGTCGCCGTAGGAAGATTGTTGACGTGTAATACAAGCTCCCGGTTTTACCCGTTCTATATTGTCTTCGGGTAGAATTTCGCCGCGATAGGACAAATAAAGGGGCGACCAATAATATATTTAATAGAGTTACAAATGGGAGGTTTTAGGCCAACTTGGAAAACATATCGGGTTACGAAAATTTTTCTTTAATTTTCTCTTGTCGGAAGACGTCCGAAAATTCAAATAATAAAGAGGCAAACTTTGGGTGTTTATCCACACAAAAGCCGGTAGCCGAGTCTGCCACGTAGCCGTCCCATATGAATTATTCAAAACGCATACATTTCGTCGAGATCCAATTTTTGTTAGGACTAGAACCAGTGGCGGGGGGGCCCTTGGGATAAAGGACCCTTTCCAAATTAATAATAATAATAATAATAATAGTAATAGTTTACAAATTTTTAAGTGTACAAAATAATTTACATATTAAAAAATCGTTTTTAGGCTTTGTAAAAGCAGATTTGCAAACCGCTGACGGTCTTATACAAGGTGATTCTTTTAGGGCGTACATTAGAAACTTTTTAACTTCTAATTCAGATAGGAATTTGAAATTTTGTACACAACCCAAATCAACCAGTCTGAGTTCAACTAAATTATTTTCAAAATGGCTGAACTTCTGAAACTACGAGAAATTGGCGCCAACTTTGAAATTTTAAATGGTACCCACTTATTTTTATTGCATTTTTGAATTCTCCTCTTTAAACTAAGTATCTATCATAGTTTTTGACAGATGTCAATTTTTTGGTCAAAATTTTCACTTGCAGGAGTTCATTCAAAACATCACAGTTCTTGAACCCTTTGCGATAAGTGAATATTTTTTGTTGCATTCGAAAACCAAAGGTTCGAAAAATTTTCTAGAATTTTCAAAATTGTCGACTGTCAAAGTGCAAGGCTAGTATGATTTTTTGAAAATGATCATTAACAAACAGCTTTAACTCAGTTTTTTCAAATGAAATGACTCTATTTTCTCAACGGCAATCAAAACTACATCATTGTAGAAGGACTTTTATCAACATGTCCTATACCTATCTCTTACAGTTTTTCAAATAATCACAAAAAACATGTTAATGTTTTTATTTTTATAGTTAATCACGTAGGCTTTGGAAAAATACAATAAGATATACCATAATTAATGCAAATGTTCGATATGTTTACCATTTTCAAACAGTCCAAAACTCGATGGTGAACTGATTTGAGTAGCTTCCATTAGTTTATTTGGTTGAAGATTATTAAATGCCGCCTCAATCCTTGCCTCAATTCTTCATAATTCCGGATGGGTGTTGTGTAGACTAATAAATCTTTAGTTCGTCTTGATCATTTTCCAAAGCCTACGTGATTTACTATAAAAATAAAAAACAAAAACACGTTTTTCGTGATTATTTCAGAAACTGTGAGAGATGGATATAGGACATGTTGACAAAAGTCCTTCTACAAATCGATGTACTTTCGATTGCCGTTGAGAAAATGGGGTCATTTTATTTGAAAAAACTGAGTTATAGCTGTTTGTTAAATATCATTTTCAAAAAATCATATAAGCTTTGCAATTTGACAGTTGACAATTTTGAAAATTTTAGGAAACTCTTCGAACCTTTGGTTATCAAATGCAAGAAAAAGTATTTACTTATTGCAAACGGTTCAAGAGCTGTGATGTTTTTAATAAACCTCTGCAAATGAAAATTTTGAACAAAAAATTGACATATGTCAAAAACTATGACAGATAAGTACTAATAACTAGGTACATTTTACGCAGTTTGAAGAGGAGAATTCAAAAATGCAATAAAAATAATTGGTTGCCATTTAAAATTTCAAAGTTGGCGCCAATTTCTCGTAGTTCCGGAAGTTCAGCCATTTTGAAAATAATTTAGTTGAACTCAGACTGGTTGATTTGGGTTGTGTACAAAATTTCAAATTTTTATCTGCATTAGAAGTTAAAAAGTTTCTAATATAGAAAGAATCACCTTATATATCATTATAGATTTTTTAGAAAGTCTTAATATTGAAATTAAAAAATGTAGAAGGCAAGGATACGACGGTGCAAACGTTATGGAGGGGGGGGGGTGCAGAAAAAAATTCGTGAACAAGTAGAAACTGTGATTTACATTCATTGTGCTGCACATAATTTAAATTTTGTTATTAACGACGCTGTAAAAGGTGTTCCTGAAATCCAATCATTTTTCGTACCCTTCACAGAATTATTTTAACTTTCGAAAAAAAACAGGAAACCACGAAGCTAAATCTTTATTGTTAAGATTGGAGAATTTTGAATTTATTTATGTGTGTACATTTTTACATAAAATAGTCGCAGAAATTGATATTTCATCAAAATTGCTTCAGAAAATTGATTTAGATTTATCACAAGCTACCAGTTTAATTAAAGCTCCCTTACAGTCTGTAAAAGAATTAAGAAATAATTTTGACAATTTTATGTGATGCAACAACGGCAGCTACAAGATTAAAAATAACTACGGATTTCAAAAATAAAAGAAAAGCCAAGGTAAAAACATTTTTGATGAACTTGCCGAATACCATCGTTTTTTATAGAGTAATGGATATTCTACAAACCCAGTTAGAAATAAGGTTCAATTCTCTCTTTCAAATTTCTGAACTGTTTAACTTTTTAAACCCTAAACGTTTGGCGGAACTTAAACAAATTTTGGAAACTTTTATAAGAACGACATAGTCAATCAAAAACGCCTTTTCCTGTGAATTGGCATCACTTGTTAAAAATTCGTACATAAAAGAGAAATTAAAGACAACAAAATCGGTAAAAGAATTTCCAGAATTTTTAATACTAGAAAATGAGTTGTCATCCAGTTTTTCTAATGTCATAAGTGCTCTTTTACTCTATCTAACTCTGCCTGTCACCGTCGCATCAGCGGAAAGATCCTTTTCCAAATTAAAATTAATAAAAAATTAGTTACGGAACTCTAGATGAACCAGGAAAGGCTTACAAATTTGTCCATTTTGTCAATAGAATACGATGTCGATAGAAAACTAAACATGAACAATGTTATCCAAAATTTTGCAAATTTAAAAGCAAGGAAGAAACAAATTACCTAAGTAAACGTGAACTGAAATTTTGTTATTCTGCTATTATTGCTTGTAAAAAGTTTTTATTGTTATATGTTTTGTTAAATTGTTTTACTAAATATTGTTTCTTTGAGAAGTATTGTTCGTTTTCAAAATAAAATATATATGTTTATATCTATATAAATTTAAAAGGATTGCATTTTTAAGTTTCTTGGAGCCCAACAGACGTCTTTCGCGGAGGGGCTCAAAATTTCTAGTGACGCCACTGACTAGAACACATTCTGAGGTGGAGAAATGAAGCCGTCTCAAGGTCTGACATGCAAATACAACATCAGTCATTGTGTTGATGAAAGTGGGCGGTGGAGACTTGACTCGATTTTTGCATAATTTTGAAAAAAAATTTTTTTTTAATCCTCTCCCTATGTCCAGTGTGTGCAGTTTTTGTCGCGTTTTGTGGACATAACTCACCGCAAATGGCACACAATGCTGGTAATTAACATGTGAAATATTACAAAAACAAGTGGAATTATTAATCTTGGGTGAAGTTCGGGAGCGAGATTGGCCTGTCACGAGCGGGATACAAATTGAGGCCGCCTCGGCCATCAGTTCTTCTAAATCATCAAGCAAACGCATTAATGTGTGTGTGTTGCACACACTCACACACAACTCTATTATTTTACCACAGACTAAACGCTTTTATTCAACAACAGGTAAATAAATGGCATACTAGCCCTCTTCTATACAAGAGGTGATGTATGGGGCCACATGACTTACCAAGCTTGATGGGCCTTCTGAAACAATAAAATTTTGAATCAATGATTAGTTGGTGAAAAATTTGCGAGATATATTGGAGTTTGTAAGTATAGGGTAAGTCCGGGAGAGAGCGACCTGCTGTAAAATTGACTACAAATGACTTGCATGACTTATAAAAGTACAAAAAGAAAGCACATTCTTTGAAACACAAAAATGTTAAAACAAATCTATCTATAATATTTTTGAAGTTATGAGAGTTTGTATTTTGACTCTGTTTATTTCTATTAGAAAAATAATTAAGAAGCTGTTTCCTAAATTGTAAATGTTTAGTGTTTTAAAACAAAGTGTTTACTAAATAATTATGTAAAAACATATACAAGGTCAGCAGTATCATTTAATAGGCATAAAATGTCAAAATTTTCTTGACAGAATTTCTTAAACGTTTTTTTAGTATTCTGGGGGACTATCCAATTACTCCCTTTTGTATATTCTGATACAAGTCCATCTCTCCCGCTGGTCCATTTCTCCCAGACTTACCCTAACTTATAGCAATAAGGCATAGTGCGCAGTGACTGGTATTGGAGATTAAGCATGACGAGGGTATTGTTATTTAAGATTTATAAACGCTGCAAGGAGATTGTAAATCAACCTACTTGGAATTGTCTACTGCTTTTAGTTTTTTTTTAGTCGGCAGCTCGGTGCAATTTCATTTTTTAACAATAAAACGTCAAATTATTTTGAATCTTTCATAGAAAAATTTCTCTGGTAAAAAACCTACTTCATCGCGAAAATACTTACTACATATTTGCTTTTCTTTTTTCTCATGTGAGCTTTATGATTGTAGCTTCTTTTGTGTTTTATATTTGCAAAAAAATTAAATTATGGTAAACCTTGTATTGTTGTTGACCCAAAAATCACCAAATGTAAGTCCATTTTTTGATATTTTTAAGTCGGTTTCTTATTTCTGTTTTTTGGTTTTAGATTTTTTCGAAAACACAATATTTTCAGATTTTATTTTTACTTATTTGTTTTTAGTGTTTGATTTCTATTTCTCTGTTTTTTGTTCTTGTTGATTCTTGTTAGATTCTAATTCTTGTAACTGGTGCATTCACAATTTTTATTTGGTTTTTCTTTGACGATTTTACAACTTTTCTAAACTTTTTTGTTAGAATTCATAGTTTTTAGTCTATATTTATTTTCTATTTTTATATGTCCTTATTCTGTATTTTCCTGTTTAATCTTTTTTATGTTTCTAGTTTTGTAGCAACCGATTGAATTTTTCTTTTTTTTTTTCTAGCTATGTCTTCTACTTGGTTTATTATAGGATTTTGTTTACAGAATGATGTTGTACGTATTTTCTATTTATAAAAACTCTGGTAAAAAACCTAATTCATCACAAAAATACTTACTACATATCTGCTTTTCTTTTTTCTCATCTGAGCTTTATGATTGTAGCTTCTTTTGTGTTTTATGTTTTCAAAAAAATGAAATTAGGGTAAACGTTGTATTGTTTTCGACTGAAAAATCATTGCAACTTACAAAATGCGTTTTGTAACAGAAGTTACATTTTTCCATTTTTTGATATTTTCTGGTCGGTTTCTTATTTAGATTTTTTCGAAAATACAATATTTTCAGATTTTATTTTTACATATTTGTTTTTAGTGTTTGATTTTTTGTTCTTGGGGATTCTTGTTAGATTCCATCCCATTTGGTTTGTAATTAGTGTATTTACAAATTTTATTTGGTTTTTTTTTGATGATCTTTCAACTTTTTTAAACTTTTTTTATATAAGTCATAGTTTTTTGGTCTATGTTGTTATAGATATTTTTTATACAAGACAATAAAGAAATAGATAAACAATCTTTATTGTCGTGTATAATATTTCGTTATATTTTGTACTCACATACCAGAATTCTATACTATTCAATCCTCTATGTTAAAATTTAATTTTATCTACTCTTTTCTTCAGGTTAAAATAAAAATTTTATCGTCTAGATAATAAAAAATACATCTGTTGTTGTATATCTGCGGTTGTTAGTTGCTAACGATCTTTGAAATTAGATTTCATTGTTGAATTTTACTTTGACATTTATAAATACTGACCAAATTGACTACAAAATTAGTGAAAATTGAAAATATTCGTGCATAAATTGCTCTCAAAGGTAAAATTCAATTTTATCGTCTTGTATAATATGTTCTTGGTCTGTATTTTCTGTTTAACTTTTTTTTAATGTTTTTAGTTTTGTAGAACCGATTGAATTTTTCTTTCTTTTTTTCGCCATATCTTCTACTTTGTTTATTGTAGGATTTTCTTTACAGAATGATGTACGTATTTCCTATTTATAAAAACTTAAGGCTTTCATAGTAATTAAATATTTCAAAGCTCAAAAGCAATTAGTAACTCTTTAACATCTAAAAAAATTACCTGGCAATTCTTGAAACTAAAGAATTAAATCTGAATAAAAACGGTTTTCTAATTTTAGAAGAATATTTGAAATCCTTATTAGTGTTATATTAAATTTCCTTTATTTGTAAACAGAAATTTTAAACTGCGGTTCACATTCCCAAAACATCAGCACCCTGTCGAGAGCTTGACATTTTTACGATATTACCTGGTAAATCCCCCAAAAAGTAATTAGTCTTACGCAGTGGCGGCTCATAGTCTTTTCTGAAGCAACAGACCTTTTTTATATAATAAAAATATACTTGACGACTAAAAAAGGATTCTTTCTTTCGTCGTGACTCTTGACAACAAAGAAAAATACAAATATCAATTAATCTTTTAAAAATTTCTCTACTTTTTTAGTTTAGTTTAGCGTTATTTTTGTTTCTGTTTCTATTTTCTACTTGTTCACCTTTTTCTGACTTTCTTATTGTCTTGTTTCGAGCCTAATTGCTTTTTTGTACTTTGTATTTTGTTTCATTTTTTTGGGAATAGGTCTAACTATTTTTTACCATTTATTCTTTCTTCTTTTTCATTTTTTCTCTTTTGAGCCACTTTCAAGTGAAAATTATGTATAATTACGTAGTTTGTTGTTTCAAAAACCATTTAAAACTTAATTAGTTGTTGATGGGCTAATAACTCTGCCCACAAAGTGTTGGACAAATTCCCTCGTTGTCCGATCTTATCTCGCCTCACATCTGGCCAAATGACTTAATAAATCGCGGATTTGAAACATGTTCATCAAACCTGCCACCTGTTCCTGCCAACTTGTCAACCCAGCTCGACATGTTGGACCACAAAGCAAATTCTCAATCTCCGATTGATTTTAATTACAGTCGCCTCCATTTTTAATTGGAAAGCGTCCAACACCACCTTCTTCGGTTCGTCGAACCGCCTCCACTTCGAAAACAAACAGGGATTTACCTGAAACGCAGGTATAAAATTCGAGTGGAGCAAATCTGGGCCGTAAACTGGCCCACCATTGGGATATCCTGTCAGTCGCCGTTAAGTCTAGCGGAATTGAAAAATTCCAACCAGCTTTTCGAGGAAACCGAATGGAAGCTTTTTGCGACCTACCTGGCCCCCATGGGGGCCAGGAAGGCAATATAGACTCAAGTTTGCAATGTTTTATTTTTTTAATTAAGACAAGTTTTATTCATTTGTCAATAAAAGAAAAAATCTTTGTATTGAAACACCATAGACGTATAAAATTATAGAGGGATGTAGGAAGTGGTTGGTGCCAATCGTCCAATTTCACAGTGTTGGTACTCATGCAAATGAGTAATTTGTGGCGCGATAAAAACGCACCTAATCTAATTAACGGCTCTTGATTTTGAGCCACTAATGACTCCATACATCATCTGGTTTTCTTAAATAATAAACCGTCGACAATAACAGTTCTTTAATCGTTCGAGGGCGGTAATTATGTCGTTCCCGTGTCTCTAATCGTCGCTATGAATAATTCCACGTGTGAAAAACACGTATTGGTAATTCGTTGCGTGCGTGAGAGATGTCGCCGCGATAGCGACGTTCAAATCTCAACTTTACCATAATCGAATTTCGTTGATTTACAGCAATTATCGTTACCACCCCACCTGGGACACAAGGGGATGGAGCGATTTGTAAATTCGAGATAATGACGGAGTGATGGTAATCGGGGGTTTTTACGCCGTTTGGAGGGTGGAGAAAAAACAAACATGGTTTTGCGACTGAAATCCCCCAATTTTGGGGCAACTCTCTTCTTTGTTAAAAAATCCTCAACAAGCGATAAACAATAAATCAGTGGCGTAAAATTTCCAATATCGGCGATAAGTCATACGCATATAGGAGTTCGGCGTGTCCTTAAACGGCACACGCTATCAAAATTTTCTTCCACTCATTGTCCTTAAAATTTGGGGTGCAAAGGGAGCACGCACCTGGGCGCACAGCTGCAAGGATGCTGCGACAAGGTAAAACGGCACTTATAACACCTATGCCGAACGACGAGACCGACATAAATCACCAGAGATGCTTTTTTTCTCGACAGAGAGATTTTTACGGTGGATGTGACGCACGAATTGCGTGTCTTTTCGAGGATAACGCGAAATGCGAAGCGATTAAAAAATATTTACCAGGCAAGGAGTGAAGAAAAATTACCAAATCGAAATTTTTATACAAGTTGATTGTAATTTATTCTAATTTTTATAAGGATAAGAGTTGTAAAAGGTAGCATTATTAAGTTTGTCGCAGAGTTGTGAAGTAGTTTGTTTTTCTCACTATTATTTACAAGTATTGTCAATATAAGTACTAACAGAAGTGTTTCGAGATGAAATTAATACTAAATCAAATAAAAAAGACTAAACTTCCTCATTAAAAAACATTAGAATACTCATAATCCCACCTCTAATTCTTATGTCTATGTCAAAACTGTCAAAACAACTAGTGGGTTTATTTCTTGTTGAAATACTACCTCTACTAGGACAAATTTTAACACTTTTTTCCTTTTCTTTACATTTTTGTATGTTATTTTAATAAATATTTTATATATGGAGTTAGAAAAGTCTTTAAAATTTTATATAAAACACGGTAGAGAAAACTTTTATAGCCTCGCAGCTA